TTATATGCTATGCGTATGTTCAGTTTTTCTGTGCATTGTGGGACGATTTTTATCAAATGAAATTGTGCCATGATTGACTTTACTATACGCTCATTTTAATAATTTTTCGATATGTGGAACAATAAATCAGTCAAAGAAATATTAAGTTTATGGGCGGCTTCATATATTGCACCTCACTGTATGCAATGTCATTTTTTATGAGTAGAATTTTACCTATGTATTGTACAGAAGGATTGGGTTCAATTATAAAAGACATCAATTTTCTTCTGAATTTATTTTTAAAAATTTTCACTTTTGCAATTATGCAAGTTAAGATTTTTATTACGTTTAAAAGAAGAACATGTAGTTATGAAACGAAATTTTCTTAGGAAAATGTATGGAAAAATTTAATGAGGGATTCAAAAGTAAATCGGTGAAAGTGCCTAAAAAAAACACTCATTAAATCTGGCACGTACACAATTTTTCTTTTCCTATATATTGGCTGTATGTATATGTATATTTGTGACAAGACCTGTGTATGATATGTTCTGTACAATAATTGTTTATGAAAACTAACGTGTTTATTTTACTCTAAATTTATATTTAATAAAAAGGAGCATTCTAGGGATTTAAAAATCGCTGAACAATATAAATTTCTAAAACTGGTGACGGCAGAACAAAATTACTAATTAAAATTGGGGCATTGAAAAGATTTCATAAATAATCAGTTATTTAAGAAAAATATTTTTGATAATATTGTTTTTAAACCCTTATTGCATATTTCTAGGATATCATTAATAATTGTAGCTGGGTTTTTCCATATTTGTATACAGTTTTATCGCATTAGACATTAGAAAAAGAAGAAAAATATGAATTCGAAAACATTTCGGCTTTTTCTATCTGAAAATGTGTAAAAGTCATAATTAAATTTAATGGGCAAAGCAGTGAAAAATTTGTTAAGGAAAAAAGACATTTTTTCTAATCACACATAACTTCGATTTCAAAAAAATATCAAAACAATTCGGAAATTGAATATCGAGAATAGAAAATCTTTTATTTTGTTTATTATAAAATACATTTGTACATATGTATGTGTGTCATAGGTATGTTGTTGATGTGATGCTTCCGAATTTTTCAATTTACTATTGTTAAATATACAGAGTGATTCAGAAAGGTATACAAAACGGGTAAAACTTTTGCTGCGAAAATTTTTACGTATCCAAGTTTTTTTTATTATTCCGTTCTGAAAAAAATAGGAACTTTAAACAAACAGTTTCTGAAAGGCATAGTAAAGGGTTTTAAAAAAGACATGGTGCTTGATTCTGTATTTTATGTACCTTCAGAATAATAAGCATTCGAACTTTAGGGAAAATCAAATTTTTCACTTGCTTTATGTTTTCAGTTTTTTCCAACTAGAATAATTTCGTATGAAATTTATTAAATCCTTGAGATTTTTCTTTATAGATTTTTTTCTAGTTGTTTAAATTTTAATTTAAGCCCTCAAACATTAAAAAATTTTTTTATGTTACGGAAGATGTAGCATAGGAACCATTTCTATGTCAGGATTTTAAAGACATTTAAAGGCAAGAATTTTAAGCGTTGTAATTATCAACTATCATTAATTTTTGGTAACAATAGTCACTCAGAAAAACAGTTGAAATTTTGAAGAGCCGTTATTTTGATAAAAAATCTAAATTTTAATGTTTTTATTGAAATGTAACAAATAATAACAAAATTGAAATGAAATTTTGTACAAATTTGGAAAACAAAAATTGATTTAAAAAAATTTTTAATTTTGGAAAAGAAAAACTAGAATTTTGTAATACAAAAAACAAAAAAAAATCTAGTAATCAAAAATTTTTTTTCGAAACTTTTCTTGGTAAAGAAAATTGATAGGTTTTTTATTTTTGCCGATTTTTATAAGAAATGGTACCTATATGGTTTGAAATTTTTAAATGCATTTTTCTCGCATTGGGTGCAATTTAGAAATTTGAAAAAAATATTTTCGGAATCTAGACACCATTTGGCATCTGAAGTTATTAAAGTTATCTAGCTGGAGCGAATTTTTAAAGAGATGCCATACAAATTTTGACATTTATTCTGATAGAAAAAAAATTTTTTAATAGGAAAATTTAATTTTTTTACACAAAATGGAGTTTGCTATTAACAATTTGAAGCTAATAAATTAATAATTTAATGGGATTAATAAATTGGCACAAGGTTGATGCAAATTAAGAGGTGTTCCAGTAAAACAATTAATTTAAAATATGCGATTGAATGGAAATAGATTTGAAAGAAGAAAAATATAAATTTTTGCCGAATGAGGTGAATTTCCTAGGAGAATATGTCGTTTTGAGAAATTTGTAAATTTTTTGAATAAGGAGTTCTTATTTTTCCAAATTTTTTTATAAAGGAATATTAAGTTGAATTTAATTTTAGTTTTATTAACATTTGGTTTGATTTTAATGGAATTTGTTGCCCACAATATTTGTGGTTTTTTTGCTATATCTTGTGTACCATAAAAATTTTTTAATATTTGAGGATTTAAGTTAAAGTTCAAGCAGCTGGGAAAGATCCTATGAAAAAAATTTCAAGGATTAAAAAATTTTCTTACGAAATTATCCAGTTAGAAAAAACTGAAAAAATAAAACAAGTGAAATTTTTATTTTCTCTAAAGTTCGAATTCTTGGTATTAACTTATTCTTGGTTCGAAAGTACATAAAATCAAGCAGAATGTCTATTTTAAACCCTTTACTAGGACTTTTAGAAGCTGTTTGTTTGAACTTCCTATCTTTTTCAGAAAGGAAGTTATAATCAAAAAAACTTGGATAAGTGAAAATGTCGTGAAAATTCGTTAAAATCCCCGGAACTTAGAAACCTTTGAAATTTGGTACCCACTTCGGAACAAAAATTTTACCCATTTTCGATCCTCTAATCAATGGCATTGGTTGTTGTATATCTTTCAGAATCACCCCGTATATATTTACTTATGAATATTAAATACATACATCTACATACACAGACTTGACTTTATATTATTTACAAAGAACAAATTTCAGATTTACAGTTTTAAGTGAAAAGATATTCTTTTTATCTCATATTTTAAACATTGTCTATACATATATACATACTTATATAATTTTTCAGTTCTCCAACAATCTGATAAGTTATAATTGAGCTGTTAACATATTGTAAAAAGATAACCGACTGCAAAGAAAAAAGGGTCAGAAATATTAAAAGGACAAAGTTTTCATTATAAATACATTTTGTACATAACAATGTAAATAACATGTATTTATTAATGTATGTATGTATGTATGTGTACATGTATAAATTTCAATTTCTTTTTTTTTTTATATACATATTTATAAGGGAACAGGTGAAAAGTTCAGTGATTTATCAAAATATTTTATTTTGTGTATATACATACATACATACATGCGAGTATTTGTATACCTACATACACAAGTAAAATTGAAAAAAATATGAATTTTCAGAATAAAATCATCATCGAAACAAATACAAGTAATGTCAAATCAGACCAGATCAAGTTGGCTTTTCACTAAAACATTGAATTTAAATGATGAACAATGAGTAGGGTAATTTTTTCTTAATTTCCTTTCTTGCCTTTTTTTTTGGGATGATGATGATTTTGGTTTATAGTTTTTGGGGTTATTGAAAATGCTTGTGAAAGTAAAAACAAATTATTAATAAAAGTATAGTCCCATGGGAGATGAACAGGAAAGCGTGGTAGAAGAGATTATTGGTTTTAGACCCATGTATGTATGCATGTATGTATGTATAAAATAAGTAAAACTAAAAATATGAAAAGAGAGAATATATTATTTAAGCTGTCATTATTGTGAATATTGAAATAAAAACTGTACTTTGTTTTTCAAAAATATTTTAAAATCAATTTTATCTTCTGTATGTGCGTATATTTTAAAAATAACAAAGGATAAAACAACTCATGTGGGCAAGATATAACCGACCGCATTGTATAAATCATGAATGTGTCTTAAATGCTTTCTAAAAATTTGTAGAAGGCTTTATTGTTAAAATATACTGCCAAGAGAAATGCAAATTTAGCTTTTAACAACAGTTCCCATCATATTATTCGATCTTGGTTTTCCACCAAACTATTAATTTGCTGTATGAAAGTTTGATTTTCGAGCCATAAAATTTAATTACCTATTTCTCTCTGTATATGACCAAAATGTAAATTTGATCGATATAAATTCTCAGATATAAATTTTCATTAAAATCGGTTCATTCGAAATTGAAAAATACCGGACAGACCGGTGGGCGGATAGATCGATAGACTGCCATTTCATTAAAAATAATTTAATTATGTTTCCCTAACACGGAAAAATTGCATTTCTGTTGAAAACTGATATTTACCAATTTAAATTTGGTCCTCATCATGTAACTTCTTTATTGTGCAAATTTGTTTGGTAAAAGCTAAGACCATAGAGGAAAATATTTGTTTTTTTGCGATATTTGGAAATATTTGTGTATTAGGTATTAATTTATTAGGTACTTAAAAATATTTTTTATTAATATTAAGAAAATAATTAAAGTAAACCTAAGTACATAAATACTATGTTTGTATAAATATTAAAGAGTACTGAAAAACCCGAAAATACTATTTCACTGCTGTATATCCATAACAAATACTTACATAATGTAGACTGCAAATTAAAAGAAAGATGCTTTATTTTCCAGAATATATGTGCCAGTAAATATATGTATAAGTACAATTGCCAGCAATAGAGCGTTTTCCCCATAAGCTGTTAAAAAATTACTCTTAAATATAATTTTAAATACTCAATATGTTAACTTAAAACATTGAGTTGATAAAGTTAATATACATACAACCTTAAATTTTTCCAAATTTTTTAAAAAGTTTTTTTTCCAATCAAGTTGTTTTCTGACTTATTCAATCATAAATATTTTATATTTTTAATTGAATAGAAGGAAATTAATTTTGTGTTTTATGAGCAATTAATTTTTAAAATATAATGGCAAAGAAGAAATTAAAAGTACCTCCATCACCATCAACACCACCGCCACCACCTGCTGAACCGAAATATGAATTTAAAAAAAGTATTAGCGAATTAGATATGATGACAGATTTAGATAAAGATTTTTGGGGAATGGCAAACAAGGTATACAAATGGCAATTTTTTCACATACATACTAAAATTTTCATAATTTTAGTGTGTTAGAATATTAACCGATGAAAATCGAATTGAACTTGCAACTGATATAAAAACTTTAGTAAAAGTTTTGGAAACATTACAAAAACAATATACACAAATAGTTCTCGAAAATCGGGAACTGCTACCCCGAGTTAAAGAAGCTGATGAAAAATTACATTCAACATTAAAAATAACTGTTGATACTCAAGAAGCAATGAATTCTATGAAATTAGTATTAGGTAAATTATTAAATTAGATAATTGAACAATAAATTAGTCTGTATTTGTATTTGAAATTTAGAAAATTCCCGGAAAGAATTAGATGCTTCTAGAAATCGAGAATTAGAATTACAACATGAATTAAATCAAATGTTATTAAAATGTGAAACTTTTACAAAAAAGGAGGAAATTGAGGAAAAGAATGATGACGCAGAGTATAAGAATTTTTTAAATATTTTAATTTTTAATTGAATTTATTTTTTTTACTTTTAAGACTTGGAAAATTGACAAAATATAAACATATAATTTTAAAAGAAAGAGACAGATTACAACATGAAAATGAAGAATTAAATCGGCGCCTTAAAATGAATCGAATTTATAGGGAACAAGTTGATAAACGGTGTGAGGATGCTGAAGAGCGTGCAGAAAAAATACAAAAATTACTTGATGTTTGAAAAAAAAAATATTTTAAATTTGATATTGAAATAATTTACTTTGTTAAATCATTTTATAGGCTGTTCTATTGGAGAAAATAAATTTGCAAAAGCAAATGAAAAAACTTCAGGAAGATTTCGAAGAATCTAAAGAAATAAATAAAGATTTGTTATCGCAATGCAGGGAATTAGAAACTAAAGTATTAAACGCATAATTTGTGATATTTTTAATTTAATTGTGTATTTTTGCATAATTTTAGTTAGAAGACAAGATTATTACTCTAAAGGAAATTACTAAAGATTTAGATATTAAGCGTATTGATCTTGAAAATATTAAAAAAACTAATGATTCTCTAACAAAAGAACTTCATAGAATTGAAATTCAATTATCAAATGCAATAAATGATAAAAATTTATTTCAACAACAGTATAAAGATTTGAAAATTGATCTTAAAGTAAATATATAAACGTTCTATATATAATGAACACTGTTTATGAGGACCTCTCCAATTAGGGAGTAATTTGTTTGCCAGTTTACCATTTGTGTTTTGTTATGAAGATCTTTTATAATTTATATTCACTATAATCCAATTTCTGTATTACGAAAAAATTTAAATTTGAATTTTAAGTGTTCATTATATAGAGATTTCAATGTTATTAACCTCATTCTATTTAATATAGTTGTGTATATTTTAGGAATTTTATTTTTAGGAAAGAATAGCTGAATTATCTAAAAAATCAATGAAATTGAAGAAATGTGAAGATGATTATAATAACATGGTTATTTCAGTATCGAAAAGAGACAAACAAATGGCTAATATAAAGGATGATAATTTAAAGTTTAAGTAAGTTGATCCCTAATTTTTAAATTTAATGTATTAGGTGTTGAATACAGCCTTAAACTTCAAAGTTAAATATAAAAATAGCCAAGTTTTTTCAAAAATTTATAAAGTTAAATTTTAAGGTAGTCTAGTTTCTTTTGATTTGATTTAAATCACATTTTAAAAATGTCTTCATCTGTTGCGTTTAAAAATTATCTGGGATGGAATTATTATACTTTTTAATTTATTAATATGTAAGTCGTTTATTGTATAAGAAACTTCCGTCGATTATGATAGACTGGCTTATTGTATCAAGCCTTTTAGCTATACAAAACAAAATATTCATTGTTATTATATTTTATATAGGCAATTCAATCAAAATTTGGAAAAAAAATTATTGGAAATTGCTGGAAAATACGAGAATTTAAATAAATTAAAAGATAGTGTTACACAGAATCGCGATTCCTTGCGTAGTGATCTATTTAAAGTGAATAATGCTATGAATGATTTAAAATTGCAGAATAAATTAAAAGATAGTACAATTGATAATTTGAAATTAACCATTGAAAAATTGAATGTTAAGCTTGAAGATGAGAAGAAGAATATTTCTCAACTAATTAAAGAAAAATTGGATTTAATCCAAGGAGCAACTGTATTGGAAAATAAAATTGATAATTTACAAAGTATATTATAGTACATATAGTTTTTTTTTTCTGGAATATTTTGCGTTATCAAAATAAGTTAAAAATCTTACAATTTATCTAAGGTCAATTAAAATTTAAAAATGATCAATTGGGAGCCTTAAATGTTGAATTAAATGAAAAGATAACAGAATATGGCAAAATTCAAAAAAAGTTGGAAACAACGAATTCAGAGAAAATAACCTTACAAAGATCATTACAGACTTGTTCTGAGGAGAAAACAAATTTAAAAAGTTTATTATCTGTAAAGTTGATGAAAATTTATAATTTTGTATGTATACAAATTTGTATAAAATTGTTTTTAGAAAACACAACACCAAATAATTCAATTAGATGAAGAAATTTCTTTAAAGCAAGCCAATATAAATACCCAAAATTATCAAATTGAAAAATTACGTTCTGAGAAACAAGAAACTGAAAAGGAGCATGGTATTGTAAAAAAAATGTTGCAATCGAATCAAGAAGAATTAAAAGAAATGAAGGAAAAGAACAATAGCTTAACTAAAGTTATTGAAGTAATTGCATTCCAAAAATAAAAAAATACACAAATATTTGAGTTAAAAGCTATGTGTTAAAACCTTATAAAATATAAAATTAACAAGACCACAATTTCAGGATCTGTCCCATTAATTCATAATTTGCTCTGTTTCGGTTCTGTTATCTTGCATTTACTTCGGTTTAACAACTATATGTACACGTAACGCTTATTAGATTTAGGATAGATTTTGAGATCCTGTGAGTTTTGATGTTTGAATTGTTTGAATCAAGTAATTGGTAGTGATGATTTCCACTGCAATGTAGATAAAATAAATTAATTTTTAGTTTTACAATTCGGTTTCAATTTCTATATTTCGTGTTCCGTCTATTATCCGATATATGTATGTGCCGGACTTTTAGGTTTAATTTTTGTCATTAAAATTTTTTTTTAACGTTGATTAGAATTTTAAAAAGGAAAATCAACAAATTTTTTAAAATTGAAGTTACTGTGCTTAAATTTTAATAATTTATTATAATTTTTATATTATCATTTCAATTTATAATAATTAGGAAGATGAAAAGAAATTAAAAAAATTATTAATAGAATTACAAGAAGTAGAAAAGGTGAAAAATTTAATTGGAGAACAAATGGTAAGCCGTAAAGATGAGATAGTTCTTTTAAAAGATAAAATACAAATAAACGAAGCAGCACTCAATCATGGTAAGTACTTTTTTCCATTATAAATTTATGATACATAAAATCGTGGTTATTTTATGATACATAAAAGTGAGGCTTGCCTACTGGTCCTAAATTCAAAAAATTATTTTACTTCTTTTTAAGGTGAATATCTGTTAACTTTTTCCCGGACATTTTCGGCCTCTTTTGTTCCTTTTTTAAACTATTAAAATTTTTATACTATAACGTCCATAAAATACATAACATCAGTTTTTACTCTGTGTTGTAGACTTTATTTTCCACTGTTACTCATTTTAATATGGTAGCAACACAACTTTCCATTTAACTTTGGTTTTGTTTCTTTTCTTTGATATTTCCAGTAGGTATTAAAAATAAATAAAATTGTTTTAAAACAAAACTGAAAATTTTACATATCATTTCCCCTTTTTATCCGTTTTCATGTCCGAATATTTATATGATATTTCGCAAAGCATTTTAGGGCTAATTTTATCGGAAGGTTCAAGATTACTCCTAATAAAAGTTTTATTTTTTTCCGGTACACTCACTTTCTTTTTTTGTGAAAAAATTAATGATTCACTTAGCCGTAGCGCTGAAATCAGTTATATTTGAAGCCATAAAATATAAGGAGACTTATCTAAAAAATTTGAAGAATCTGTCTATGCGCTGACCCCATTTTATTTTGCTTGTCCTTCTTTTTTCTTATAAACTTTTAGTCACCTTATTCGAGCCCCATGTGGGTTAAAAAATTTGTTTTAATTATTAAATTTATGGCCTTCTATTGAAGTTAAATCTAAATTTAATTGCAATGAAATACCTGGATTCCTGATGTTTTTAACTTATTGTGTATGTTTATTAAAGAGTAAAAAATTTAGTATTTATATATTTATTGAAAGGGAAAATTAATTTTCACCTTAAAATGTTTATTATAACACGAAAACTTTTTCTATATTTTAATAAAGCAATTAAAATCTTATTATTAATGTTTTTAAGGGAAAAAGTTATATGGAGAAAGATTAGAAGATATTCGTTTACTCAAATTAGAAGTCACTAATCTGCATAATGAAAAAGAAATACTAATAAAGAGTATAGCTAATACAGCCGATATGAAAAAGGAAATTGTAAAATTACAAAGAGAATTAGCACAAGAAAGAATTAGAAATGCTGTTCTTACAGAAGATTTAAATACACCAACTAATGTTCACCGTTGGCGAGTTCTTCCCGGCACCGTTCCAGATCGCTGTCAATTATTACAAAAACTACAAATATTACAAAAGTGTATTCGGAAATTATTGATTTTTTTTAGCTTAATTATATTTTTTTATGAGTTTTAGGGAAAATTTTAAGTTACAAGCACATAACAAAAAAAACGAAGATTACTTGAAAAATTCAAATGAAGAGAATATATCGTTAAAAGCTTATATTGGAAAACTACCGTCTTATAATCTAAAAAAGGATTTATTAAATAGTCAGGTAGAATAATTAATATTTAAGTACATATATCATTAAAGGAGTTTAACAAAAATAAGGTTTCAAGTATTGATTTTTCTTTATTGTTGTAGAGATTATTAAAAGTTAAAGAGAAAAAGATGAAAGCTCTTGCTGCCGAAAATACTGTATTAAATCTTGATATGGAAGCAAGAAATTGTGAAATAAGTAAATTAAAAAGTATTATATGCCAAAATAGAAATTCGAAGACTCACGAAAAAATCGAAAAATCTATGAAAATGTCAGATAATTATGAAGATGCATTGCTTGATAAATAAATGAAAATGTTAAACATTATTAAATTTATGTGTGTGTTTTTGGTTTCCCAAAGTATACGACTGTGTATAGTGAACATATTGTAATACTTGAGTCTTTGGTTAAAATTTTCAGCGAAAATTAATAAAATTTTTTATAAAAATGTATTTATACCTTTGGTATTTAGGTCAGATCTAATTAAGATCAATATTCAACTGTTATACTGATTTTATTTTACATTAATATTAAAAATTATTGTAAAGATTCCTGACCCAACACTCTCTTTTTCATTTCGTAATAAACTGTAATGAGAAATGAAAGAAAGTTTTTAATCAAAAAATTTTCTTATGCTTAATAATTTAATGCCCAGGTGTACAATATTTAATTTTTTTGATATTAAATCATCTTATATAGCTTCAAGATCAGAAATTTAATAATAGTCACGTTATCTTTTCTTTAAAATAAGCAATTATGATTTTTTTTTTAAATCTTCTATAATAACCTTCTACTGCAAATTAACTTTTCTCCATTTTGTGTTTGTTTTTTTTTTTTCAAAAATTATATTTTGTAATTTAAAGGTATTAAGGCTATTAAGAATATTGTTTTTTTTTTGCTTTAAAGTTTGGAAAAGTTTTTAATATTAAAAAAGAATTTTGAAGAAAAATCGTTTTAAATTAGAGAGAATATTTTTTTTTTTTAGTAATGATATTAAAAAGAGATTTTTAATTTTATTATTTTCTTCATTTCTTTTTGTTGTCCTTAAATATAATAAGGATCATCAATTTTCTAACATCTGACGTCCTCAAGAATCCTAATTTCTAATTTATAAAAAATCACTTAACGTAATAAAATTATGCTCATGCTATTTAAAATACTTTATGCTTCTCATATTGATAACCAATTATGTAAATTTTCTTTCTTCTCCTTTTCTCGTATACTCCAATCCAATATTCTTCTCTTCTTTGTTACATATTCCTTTTTCGACTATAAGCATAATATCCTTGTTAGTCCATATGCAGAATATATTTATATATTTTAACATCTTTATATGTGTATTGGGGGGAGTGTAATCAATATTGAATTTTTATAAAAATAGATTTTATATTCTGTTTTAGAGATGACAAGGAGTAGTTTTGTTGTACCTATAAGACGTAATAACAGATAGTTTGCTTTAACATTTTACTCTTATTGATTCATTCTCTTAACTGTATTTATATATTTTTAGTAACCATAATATGAATGTTTATGATATCAAATTTATTGATTCTGTATATGAAAATATATAAAATATATTTATAACATGCAACATAACATTAAGATCATATAATAATAAATTTGATATCATCTAACAAGAAAATAGAGAACATAAAATTTGCATGAAAATTATTTAGTAGCTATATAATGTCCCAAACAATATGTCCAATTGAGAATTTATATTTCTTTACAAAATCATTTTCATTTCGGTTTTCAAAGAAAAATGGGATAAGAAAGGAGTGTATTCGATATGAAGAATATTTTTATTGCAATAAGGTGCAATAAGTTTTAAAACCGCAAACCAGCCATATTCCACAATAACTATATACATACAATTTTCTTTTGTGCAAAATATTGGTATATATTTAGTTGGGTAATAAGTATGTCATACATATTAGAGGAGGGTATCCAAGTATCCAAGTTATAAAGATTTTGAATACTTTGTAGACGATTGAAAATTGCATCTTAATATATTGATCTAATCGATAATCATTATCAAATAATTATCAAAACTTTTTAGGATCTGTTTCTATATAAAGTTTCAAGGACATTTTAATTCAAGGAAACCACCTATTACCACAAAATAATATAATTTATAATATTTTCTAGTTAGTTATGTTCCAGGAAATTAAAATAAATTTTCTTTAACAAAAGCGACAATAAATTTCAATTTTCGAATTATGGAAATGCTTGATAAAATGAGATTTCTAACTTTTTCCGTACTTCTGATTAATTGATTTTAAGTTATTTATATAAGGCAACAATCGTTAAGGGTCGATAATTTTGGCTTACGATTTAGTTTCAAAGTTGCTGGTGAAATGATTTCAGGTCTGTAAAATTATATACTTTCTATTTTTGGTTATCTAAAACTAAATCTTATACTCAATATTATCTAATATAGTTTCGAATTATTGAGGAGCTTAAATCACAGAAAATTTTGAATTGAAAATTATATTTGAGAATATGAAAATAATTCAATTTACTGGTTGATGTACTAAGAGTCGAAATATGCTAGCATTTTAAGCTAGAAACAATTCTAATAAATGTAAAATGGCAATATTATAGCGTTAAAAGAATTTTTTACTAAAGTAATATTGCACATGCAAAACATTTCGATTTTTTAAACATTTGTATGTATGTATGTGTATCGGTACATGTGTAGGATATTTTGATTTAAGTTGTCTGAAAGAAAAAGGATTTTATGAGCCATTCATTACTAAATTATCATATGTTTCACATAATTATAATCTATGTGTGTATGTTTAAAATAAAAGTATACGTTATATTAGGGGTTTTCACCGGTCGATGCATTCATGCAAAAAGAAACGATAGTGCTTTTTTGCTCCATTTGGTTTTCTTAAATAGTTT